AAAATCGTTCAGAAAAAAAAAAAAAAAACGAAGATGCAATAATATAGTGATATCTTTAATCAAATGTCTCATTTTATTGGTATAGAGTCATTTTTTGATAGGGTGCGTTTTCTCCTTCAAAGTACATTTTTTCTGCGTGTTTTTTGATTTAATGAGGATAAAAAATAAGTATCGAACACCGGAGGAGGAAAAAAGAGAAAAATAAAATGTCATATACTACCAATGACGATCATCTGAACATCATTTATGCGCAAAATGTGTATAATTTCCTTAAAGGAGGGTATTTCCTTTTTAATTAACGACCTTAAAATACAAATATAATGAATCCAGTGTAAGTCAAGTAAATAACAAAATTAAAAAAAGGGAGAAAATGTATTTATTCAGGATTCAATGTAGCGGAAGAATTCAATACAGAAAACTGCACAGGTATGTTTTTGTTCCCAAACGATTAGTTCCATTAATTTCTATTTTAGAAATATGGCAAACAGGAAAATGAAAAGGATACAAGACCTCATATGAATTTTTGGAAAGATGGACAACTAAAGTGTCAATTTACTAGGTATGCGGGGGCACATTGATTACCCTAATTTATGATCACAATTTTTTTATGTTTGTCCTAAAATAGCTTTAATACTTCTTGAATAATCGACCATCAACATGCATGTCTTATTCACCTTTTTCTCGCTTTATAACAGCTGGATTCAAAATATCAAACTTAGTTGTAAATAAGTATAAATTTAAGTTATATATATATTGATAATTTTTAACTTATTATATTAGGTTAATAGTTACTGTTTTAATAAATTATTAATTATTCTTATCATAATTAATTATCTATAATTATTTCGTAAGTTATTAAATTGTGTAACTTTTATATCGTCGAAGCTTAAACTTGTATGACAGATCTATTGTATGGAAAAAATTGGTTAATAATAGATGGTTAAATGGTAAGATAACACGTGGAACCAAAGATAGGCAAAAGATGAATTGAGAAATAATTAATACCGAATGCGACATGTATGACCGATACTAGATGGATTCCGAAGGGAACGTAGTCGGCGGTAGAAGTTCAAAGGTTTGCCATTGGACATCATTCAATGAGGGAATATTTGCTAGTGTTAAATGAGAAGCCGTTATAAAAAATATTTGCATTGAAGGTTTTCTGTTATATATATTCATCAACGACACTTTTATACTCATTTAAAGAGGAGCTTAATCCTAGTATCATGTTTCCATAGGTGAAGCTATAAATAGTGGAATTAATAGGCATTGTAAAAAAAATATTCTGCACGCAAAAGTTATACTTCACTATTTTGCTCTCATACTTTTACTATTTACCTCTCGATTTAGCAGCTTCATCGTTTCTTTATCTTTATTTTTTCACTTTTACTCTCGAAAAGATTGAGTTCGAACAAGACTTGTTATCTTCTTTAATATCGATCGTTAAATCTTAACTATAATTTAGTCTTATTTCTCTATTGTGTTGGATCAAATCGATTCGTTTGTCTATCAACCACATTACAAATTTATCTGTACTGTTTTACGAGTAAACATATATCTTCTCCTATTTATTAAGTTCTTTAAAGGAGTTTATTTCAACAAATGAACGTCCTCTTGTGCTACCAAAAATATATGAACTCCACATATTTATGTACGGTCAAAGTAAATAGATTTTGAAAAGATGAAATCAGTAAATTATATAATTCATTGATATTTGTATCTTTGTGATATCGTCAAGTACAAATATTAGTTAAGGAATATGTACTATTTACCTACAAGCACCTATTGACCAACTAGTGTTGGTGTGGCAATGCTATGTGCTTGATTTATTTCCTTATTAGGGTAAGCCCTTCAACCATGCGCCAAACCACCATGCATTGTTTGGGACAAATTGGGTACCCTATAACATCTAGTATAGCATTATGGAAAATTAAAGGTACTTGGAATATCTAGGGGTAGGACTTTTTGATGTGGCAAAGCTAAAAGGAAGGACTAAAGATTTTAAAATTAGAAAAGTACGTAATGGCAAAAAAAAATAATTTTCTATGGAAAAATGAGGTCAAGACTGAATGGAAAAAATTTCTCCCAAATTGTGCTTTTATTTTGTACCTTGCTTGTGAACGAGTGGTGGAGGCTACAGTACCACAAAAAATGATAGAGACATCGTGGTGTTTGGGTTGAGCTAAAAAAATAAATAAATTATTTGTACCTAATATTTGTAGTAAATTGAACATTTTAAAATTAGGAGTTTCAAAATAACATAAGAACACGTAAATACATATACTTTACGCTATTTCCTCCGTTCCGTTTAACTTTTGCTTTCAAGATCTTACTGTATGCTCTACTCAGGACTCAGGTCTCAGCAGCGGAGCTAGAGCTTCGGATGCGGGTTCGGCCAAGCCCAGTAATTTTGGTTCAAATTCTATATTTGTTTTTAAAAATTTATTAAATATATAATAAATTATTAATTTAGAACCCAGTAACTTAGAAGGAATAAAATTTCGAACTTATTAAATTTAAATCCTGGATCTGCCGCGCTCTATTTCTCCTTCCCGCACGTGATTGGCATTTCCGTGTTGAGCTATTGCGTGATAGTACAACGTAATAATGCAATGCCTCCGTTTTCAATTTCTCCTACTGCGTATCCGTTACTATTACGTACAATAAAAACAAAGTTAAATGAACAAGCAATTCGTTACAAAGATGTATTAAAATATTTTGATGATCATAATCGTTTTTTAGCTTTGAACTTTAACGCGTACGGTTTAAACAGTTTTATTACATCATATTTAATGTTGCTAGAAGAAGTTAGTTTATGTTACGTGTTTAAAGAAAGCCATGAAAAGAATTTTAAATTGCGGAAAATATGGACATTATCCTTATGGTACATTCAATACGTATACATCATCAATCTCCTAGTTATACAATTAAATGGATTTAACTTAATTATATGTATATAAATAATGTAACTTACTAACTTTTTTGCCTATTAGTATAAAATTTAATTGGATAGACCATGTTAGTTACTTTATTTTCTAGATTGTTAGTGCAACTTTCGATAGACAATTATCTATAGTTGCCTTGTGACTATGAACCATTCATTTGCAATGTTATTGTGTTAAACTATTTTTGGAGGGTCGTTTGGTACTTGAATTAGAATATGAATCCCTACATAAAGTTTGAGGTTACATATCCCGTGGCCCCTAAGGGTTTATGTTTTGTATACTCACAATATAAAAAATATTTATAAAATTAGATTAAATTTTTTACATGTAATTCCAGTTAAGTAACTTTAATTGATATATACCCTAGAATAAAAGGTAAGTAGTCTGCTATGACATGTATTGTTATATTGATAATATAAAAAATATAAAAACTCATTACACTGCTTATAGGACGTTAGGATACAAATATACGTAATATAAGAATTAGTATTTTTTTTTATACGACATTTGGAATGAAGTACGAAACCCTGCATTACCAGTTGTTATTTGTATAAAAATCTATACGATATTTGGTGCCCATAAAGTGTATAACTAATGCGAATATATGTTATAAGATAGTCTATGTGTTATTTTATACGAAGCAGAAAACAGAACAAATAATATGTGTATTGACAATACGTGAATGAGAGCATCTTAAGACAAACATCCCCTTACAATAGGCAAACGTATTCCCTAAAAAATAATCATTTATTAATCTAATAATAATTTACGTGTGTTTATACTAAGTATGTTATTGTTGTTGTGTAATATTTAACGTATGATTTACTCTTCGTATATAATCTCTATATTATTTATCTTCACATAACAATATTTATATTATTGAGCTCTGTACAAATAATTTATGCATTATAATTTTTATTAAACAAACCCATCAACTAATGATTTCTCTGTGTATATATAACTTAAATTTATTATTTAATTATTCATTGGATGAAAAGGCAAAACATATTTATCAGTTAAAGAAAAAGACGGAACCCATGCTTTCCTTGCTGGCATGGTGTTTTGCAGGTATCTTGGAGGCACGAGTAATACACAGGAGAGACGTCTTGTAATAATAATAATAATAATCATATTAAAAAGCCCACAAAATAGTGAAAAAAAGAGAGAGTACATTTAATTGAAAAGTAACCACGGTTAACATGCGCCACTTTTAGGAATGGCTGGTGCGTACTTTGGGCCCGTTTGGACATACAATTTGGTTGAAGATTTTTCCAAAAATATTTTACTTTTTTCTGAAGTTAGCAAAAAGTTATTTTTCAAAATTTTCATTCAAATCACTCACAAAACTTCAAAAATAACCCAAATTGAAATTTATGTTCAAACACAACTCTAATTTCAAATATCATTTTAACTTAAAAAAAAAATTTCAATTTTTTATGAAATATTACAATTCTTATATCCAAACGCCTACTTAACCCCCTCCCCTATCCCATCTTACATTGCCCGTTAATAGCACGACAGGGCCGCTTCCCCATAACAACAGAATAGGAGTAGTAATATTCTACTAACGGCAAAAGGCAGACGTCGTCAGCTTTCAGGCCAATGAGAATACGACAGCGCCTAACGTCTAACTGTACACGCCGTTATAACACTTTATGATTTGTCCCCCCAGACAGTGTCTTGACTACCGGCTATACCCGGTTGAAAAAGGCAGAAACCAACGGGCTATAGGAAGTTCCTTAACTCGGGTTAGATTTTTGGACCGCAGTTGAAATGATTGCTGCACCCGTTTTGACCCCTTTGGTTATCGAAAGGCTCTCGCTCTTTCCCCTCAATGCTTTTCTCTTTCTCTCTCTCTCATCACTACATGAAGGAGCTCCCCTATCCTCAAAGATAGATACACACATATACAAAATATTTTGCTGATATAGAGAGAGAAATTAGAGTGAGAAAGTTGTTGAACTTGTATCTAGTGTGTTGATTGATATTTTTGGTCTGATCCAGTGTTGATTTGGTACAGTTCAGTGATTTTGTCTGGTGAATTTTGGAGTTAATTTGTGAGAAGTAAGTTTCCTTTTGTTGAGAATTAATTTGTGCTTGGAGATGAGAGATCTTTGTTGAGAATTAGTGTACGAAAAAATGTCTACTTCAGAGGTGTCGATTAAAGGTTACAGCGAGCCAATTGATGGCTCAAGGCCGGTCTCAGAGACTGTTCGGAGTGCTCCCGTTGTCGGAAAAGGTACTAGACCGGATTTTTTGCTGTTAATTTGAGTGATTTGTTCCGTAAGTCGGAGTTTTCCGGTGAGTTCGCTAATTTGTGTTTGTTTTTGTTTACAAAGTCGATGCTGAGACAGCGTTGTACACGGAGCTTTGGCGCGCGTGTGCCGGTCCACTTGTGACGGTTCCTCGTGAGGGTGAGCTGGTGTACTACTTTCCTCAAGGTCATATCGAGCAGGTTTGTTTCTCAAATTCTTTTAATCCGTTTTCGACCTCAGGTTTATGGAAATCCCGTTTGCAATTTCACTTTCAACTGCACTGCTGAACATACATTTTCGAAATACTCTGTTTTTTTTCCGGTAATTTTTATGTAGCTCGATACCTTAAATTCAATCATGATCCTTGTATGATAGGTTGAAGCATCAACTAATCAAGTGGCTGATCAGCAGATGCCTTTGTATAATCTTCCTTCTAAGATCCTATGCCGCGTGGTTAACGTCCTGTTGAAGGTAATGATTTCCTTCATGCTGTTGCGTTAGTGTGTGGGTACTTTAGCAAACCATACTTTTTTCCCTTTTATGGACATTCTTATCTATACACATGATTGTACTTTGTTGGTGTTTGTGTTGACTTTTGAGTGAGTTTCAGGCTGAACCAGACACTGATGAGGTGTTTGCACAAGTGACTTTGATGCCGGAGCCAAATGTAGGTTTACCATTATGTTTACAGTAATAAACTTTTTTCTTTTATTTTTCAATTTTCAGTTTTCTGATCTTATGTTGAATAAAGTATGTACACCTATTTGAATCTTGAATTTTGAAGTTCCAGTTGAAGTTTTATCTAATGTTCTGAAATGACTGTTGTAGCAAGATGAGAATACTGTGAAGAAGGAATCTATGCGCCCTCCTCCACCACGATTTCATGTACACTCTTTCTGTAAGACACTAACAGCATCCGATACAAGCACTCATGGTGGATTTTCCGTCTTGAGACGGCATGCTGATGAATGTCTCCCCCCACTGTTTAGAAGAATTCAGTTATTATGGGTTCGTTGTCCATTTTTTGGGTAAATGGATTGGCTTATAGTTTTTAATTTGCATCTGTAACAGGATATGTCTCGACAGCCTCCAACACAGGAGTTGGTGGCCAAGGATTTACATGGGAATGAGTGGCGCTTCAGGCATATATTCCGCGGTATGATGCATAGTATATTCTTAATCATCTTATGTCTACAAAGCTTACCACCTCCACCCTGTTTGGTCAATTTATGCCCTTTGAGACTTTTTAGACAATGTAAGATGCACTTTCACATAGCGCATTTCTACCTATCAAGTCCTATTGACGGTATAACATGCCCGCTGCATTCTTGTAATCACACGTCCTAATGAAAATTGCTATAAGTCTGTGTGGCACATGTAAAAATGTTAAGCAGATGATTTGATAGGGAGTGTGAAGGGGGAGGGGAGAAGTTGGTTAACAAATTTCTGCTTCTGTAATTATAGACCGAGGTTGTAAACTTTCTCTTTCCCTTTTCTTCATATAAAGATTTGTCTTTGGAAGTATGGTAGCATGTTGCTTTATTTTTGGTGCACTGAAATGCCTTTGTTGGAAGGGTGGGCTTGTTTGTCCTGCTATATAACCTCTTCTTTGTTTCTCACCCAAGCATTTGAACTCCAGGCCAACCAAGGAGGCATCTTCTTCAGAGTGGTTGGAGTGTCTTCGTTAGTTCAAAAAGGCTTGTTGCTGGGGATGCATTCATATTTCTTAGGTTCGTCTGGCAGAACCCTCTGAATTTATTTGTTCCATTAAGTAGAGTCTGATCTGTTGCATTGTGCTACCTTAGAGGTGAGAATGGGGAGCTTCGTGTTGGAGTTAGACGTGCCATGAGACAACAGGGAAATGCTCCATCATCGGTGATATCAAGTCATAGCATGCATCTCGGTGTACTCGCGACAGCTTGGCATGCCATTCAAACAAAAACAATGTTCACCGTGTATTACAAACCAAGGTACCTGGTCTGTAACATCAAACAAAGCACCGACTTGAAGGCCATAACTAGAGATCTTTGATTATTAGTTGTAGAGTTAAACGCTACATTTAGTCTTGTTGTTTCATTGCTTGTCATCTGTGCATTTGGGAAAGCATTTTATCTAAATTGGTTGCCATCTAAAATAACTGGATGCTTCATATCTTTGATGGCACCTAACAATCAGATGAATTGCAGTTTTTTAAAGTTCATTCATGGGGGATAGCAGGGTGATATGTAGGTTTTTGAACTGTTGTTGGTGTAACACTGACAAAAGGATTAGCATTCCTTACCAACTTAGTTTGCATCTTACAGGACAAGCCCTACCGAGTTTATAGTTCCATATGACCAGTACATGGAGTCCGTGAAAAACAATTACTCCATTGGAATGCGGTTTAAGATGAGATTTGAAGGTGAAGAAGCTCCAGAGCAGAGGTATGCTGCAGTTTAGTTTACCATCTATAGAGATCATCTTTTTACTATTTAAATATCTGACTTACTGGTTCTAATCTTGACCTCTGTGTGTTACGGTTAAATTATTAGAATGTTTGATTCAATTTTCTGTAACAGGGTATTTTCTCTTCACTTCTCTGATTTAGTTAACTTACAATGTTATAGGTTTACTGGAACTATAGTTGGCACGGAAGATTCTGATCCCAAAAGGTGGCCCGAGTCCAAGTGGAGATGTCTGAAGGTAGTATTCATTTTAATTTCGTGGTTTGATTGTTTCTTTTACCTCATATCACACTAAAAATCATTCATTAATGGTTTTTCAAGGTTCGGTGGGATGAAAATTCTACCATTCCCAGGCCAGACCAAGTTTCGCCCTGGAAAATAGAGCCAGCTCTTAGCCCTCCTGCACTTAATGCACCTCCAATTGCAAGGCCAAAAAGGCCTAGATCCAGCATTTTGCCCTCATCTCCTGATTCATCTGTCCTCACTAGGGAAGGTGGATATCTCATCTGATCTTTTTTATTCTGTATCTTGCACTGATTTTAAGTCTCAGACTCAAGCTAAGTAATTGTCATGCATTTTCGGTTTTTTTAGGTTCATCCAGAATAACTGCAGACCCTTCACAAGCCAGTGGATTTTCGAGGGTCTTGCAAGGTCAAGAGTTATCGACCTTGAGAGGCGGTTTTGCAGAAAGTAATGACTTGGACGTATCTGAGAAACCGATGATATGGCCACCATCAGTGGATGATGAGAAGATTGATATTCATTCTGCGTCAAAAAGATATCTGTCAGACAAATGGTTACCTTTAGGGAGGCCTGAGTCATCTCTCACAGATCTATTATCAGGTTTTGGAGTGCAAAATAACTCCTCCCATGGGTTCTGTTTACCCTCTGCGGACAAAACAGCATTTGGTGCTAGCTTGGTGAAGCGACAAGCACAAGACCAGGAAAAGGATTTCAGCTTACTGGGAAAGCCATGGTCTCTGTTGTCTTCCGGTCTCTCACTTAATCTGATGGATTCAGGATCAAAAGCTCCTGGCCAAGGTGGTGATACTCCCTATCAAATGCAGGGAGATGCTAGGTATAGTGGTTTTGGCGAGTTTTCAGTCCTTCCTGGTCATAGAGTTGACAATCAGCAGGGAAGCTGGTTTATGCCTCAATCAGTGTCGCCTTACTTTCAGCTCTCCTCTCATTCAAGAGAATTGAGGCATAAACCCACTGTAGTTCAGAAACCGGAGGCTGTGAAACCCAAAGAGGGAAACTGCAAACTCTTTGGCATTCCCCTTACAAGTAATGTTTGCACAGATCCTGTAATGACACGGAAACGTTCATTGATGGACTCAGCAAGTAACATGAATATTGGTATAAATTCTCATCAATCCCCTGCTACTGATTCTGATCAAAGGTCTGAGCAATCAAAGGGATCGAAGGTGCTAGATGATGGGATTACAGCTAATGATCAGGACAAACAATTTCATACCTCTCATCTTGCTGCTAGAGATAGGGATGCCAAAGGTCATAGTAGTTCAACAAGGAGCTGCACCAAGGTTTAAATCTGCTCCTTTCTCATAACTTTGGCTGTTTGCTTTAATGAAATTTCTAACAATTCATTTTTGCATACAGGTTCACAAACAGGGTACAGCACTCGGAAGGTCCGTGGATCTTGCTAAATTCAACAATTACGATGAATTAATTGCTGAACTGGATCAGCTTTTTGATTTTAATGGTGAACTCAAGGCTCGGAGTAAGAGTTGGCTGGTTGTGTACACTGATGACGAGGGTGACATGATGCTTGTTGGAGATGATCCATGGCAGTAAGTACTACCCATCTTTGCTTTTATACGTCAAAGAGACGATTTTCTTTCCTCCTGGAGCTGCTTCCTTGTGTAGTAGTGTCTCGGGATCACTGCTGCGTGTTTTTGGTGTTGTTACGTTATCTATGCTGTGCCTAACACTGGTTGGGGAACAGGGAATTTTGTGGTATGGTTCGCAAGATTTTTATCTATACAAAAGATGAGGTGCAGCGGATGAATCCCGGAACTCTTAATTCAAAAGGTGAAGACACTTCCTCTGTTGCAGAAGGCTCAGAAGCCAAAGAAGTGAAGAGTCTGCAACATCCTTCTGAATCTGGTCAAGAAGAATCCTAGATTTTCCTCAATCGAGGTATTCAAAAGAAATAAAATGGAAGAGCAAGCAATTGATTTCTTACTTTCTGCTTCATTTCTTCTTTAATTTTCCTGAAAATTAGGGTTGGAGGTTACTCCATCTGCTCTTTCCAGTTGCTTAACTACTGTTGCTGGTTATTTGACAGGTTTATAAGATAGCAGAGGAGATGGCTTGTATCCGCCTTGGTGTTGCTTTTTGGGGGATTTTTGAAGATAGTAACATACAGTATCAAGTCCCTTTTGGCCTCTGGATGTGATGGTCTCTCCATATATATATGCCAGCTTCAATATTTGCAGTTTTGGACCCCCTTTTTGGAGCCAATTTCTGGCCTCGTGTCGATCTATACATAGTATATGTAAATTATCAGCGTGGTCATTAACCTTGCTATTGTCAATCCCATTCTGTACATACCCTGTTTACCAATTTCTCTAGCTCTAGATGTAAGTAAGATGTTGATACATCACGTACCTGTCTGTTGATATACGTGAAACTAGTATCCAACTGCTTCAGGCAGACTACATATTTTGTATCAGCAATTATGGTAATGCGTTAGAAAAGAAGTTTTTTCTGGGTGAACATCTGTTTGTAGTTTATTCTACAATTTGTTCATAAGAATTTGACTGCAGGACATAAATTTTAGTAATTTACTTAGCTATTTTTATTGGTCAGATTCTTTACCCTTCGTGGACACAACCAAATGCAGTCTCCTTTTGGAAGTTGTCGCAATTATTACTCTTTCGAAACACTGATATTGGGATCAAAAGGCAACTGCAATTCTATTGTTAGTTTCAACTTTACCCAAAGCCATTGTGAGTCGCCAAGATTTTTGGAAGAGCAGGACATTGATACGATACACAGAAGCTCACTGTAATTGGTCCCTGTAAACGATTAAATAACCAGTCTCCCCCAGGTTCTGGGTTTTTGCTTCTTTTCATTTTTGTTATTAAAGTTCTTTTTTACTTTTTCTTCACTATAGGATTTAAGGTTTAGACTTTAGACATGGATTAAAATATATATGCTGCTTTTTCTATTTTCTTTTTAGAAGACGGAAATGGCAAAGCTTAACAAAACACAGTTGTGATACCATGTGAAAGAATATGAGCTTAATGACCTGGGTAGCGTGGCTTAAGACCAAATATTAACCCCCTTAAAAGAGGCCCTTTGCATAACCATTGTGGAAAAAGTATATCTTCCAGCAAAATTTTTATCGTACGAACTCAAGAGGAGCTCAACTACAGCAAGTAAATACAGTTACTCAATCGATGGGTCATTCATTCATTCATATCGGAGACTTCTCAGCTTACACAAAAGGCAGCTGCGTTCCATACCATTAATGAATTGCCTGGTACGTAAAAATGGTATGTAAAAAATGACTGAATAAAGAAGGATCATCCAGAATAAGGAACTTGTCACTGAAAAATTCATAGCATTCAGTTTTAGAGCTTCTAAGCATACGCACAACGTTTTTCCTAGAGAAAACACAATACAATGGCTAATAAATGAAAATATCTGTAAACTTAAAAAGGAGCATAGGAAGCCTGAGGTTTAGAAGCTAGAGTATGAGGTCCAACATCTTGGACGGAACCTCTCGTTGAAAACCGCAAAAGCTTATATCATCCCATGGAAGCCAGCAGAGTCCAGCAACACTGCCTTAATTTGTTCTGGATGGATGTCTTGACCTTCTTTGGATTGCTGCGATTAAATACGAACCAAAATTGATATTACAAGTCAAAGAATTGTATCAACAACTCAATATTTTGGTCAAGGATAAGAAACCAACAATTGAAGATATGGGGAAGGCTTGTTCAATACTTGAAACATCTTTTCCTTGCTCTTCAGATAACGGAAGAAGCAGAGGTTCAGTAAATTAAGGAGGGGAAAAAGCAGAGTGCGCGCAATTCATGGCATATATCTATATGTAATCATTGAAGTCATCTACTACATATTATGCAACATTCCCATTCTATAAGTAAACAAGACAACTTTGGCAATTCTAGTGTTGCTGCACAGCTTTTCTGACGTGTATGTTTCTGTGCAATTCTTATTTCCATTCCCACTTGAACATTTTTGCTGTATTTTGAATTTGTTTAACTAGAGTCACTACATGCTATAATATTTTCACATGATTGACATTCAAACAATTCGTATTTTAGAGGATGATTTATGATATTATGACTACTTTTTCGCCGGCAATCACATATTGGCAACCTCAACTAGTTTGGGAATTGAGGTGAAGTTGATTGATTGATTGATTTGACATTCAAAGAAGTTTTTGAAGGCTTGTTATGGTAATAGGTTTGTCATTCCAGAAGGATGTCGTGGTCATACAAAGCTGATGGGACTTCAATTCTCCATCAACAAACCTTATTGTGCAAATGAAGCATTCTCTAATCCTACTGTCCAAGATGTAGTAAGTTCACAGAAAGAAGGTACCTCAGCTCGGAAGATATCCAAGGCAAACCCATTGAAGCAGCTGATAACAGCCTGTTGAATGTCCAGTCCAAGATTGTCCAGAGCCCTCATTGTTGAGAGTAAAAGGCCTGGTCTGCGGCTGCAAAACATATGGATATTCACGGCCCTTCCTTCTCTTGCCCTTACTTCAACCTACAAGTACAAAAAGATCTGCATGCATCATCTCAAACCAATAACATAACGAATGCTAACAGTATGATGAACTTAGACTGTAAATGCTACTACAAAAAAAATATTTCCATGTCAAACGGAAAAGAAAAAGAAGACTAAAAGGTTTCCAATATCAATACATTTCAACATTTATGCACATCTAATGAGAAAAAGATTCCAGCATTAAGTTTCTTCTGGCTAAAAGGAAGGACATTTTACCCTTGGAGGTTGACCAGTAGGGCTAGACAGTGGGCTTGCAAATGAACTCGGACAAAGTTCTTCCTTGATTCGGCCAGGTAGAGCTGTTGCAGTTGGCGTTAAAGGGTAGAAGCTTGTTGCCGGAGTCAATGAAGAGCCAGGTGGTGTTGACTCGAGTTCATTATGCAGGTCATTGATTTTCTGTAGAAGCTCCTTTAAGTACTCAATTGCATCTCCTAAGATTGAAGCCCTGTCCATCTGCCAACACGCAAACAAAATCACAATCTGATTCACGATAATTCACCAGGCCGAGTCTGCATAAGGTACTCGCACCATTTCAAGTTATAGCCAAGAAAAAGCTTCCGGTATCAGGCAGTCAAGAAGACAAAAATTCTCGTTTCATTCAGCAAGCTTAAAAACAAGTGCATGGGTTCTTTACGACTTGTATCAGATTCAAGTGGCAAAAGATGTCTCATAAAATCGGGACGACTAACCAGCAACAGGAGCTAACTACCCCTCCGTCCTAATTTATGTGGCAGTATTTGACTCGGCACGTAGTTTAAGAAATAAAAGAATACTTTTGAAACTTGTGGTCTAATATAAAAAATAGATATTTGTGTGGCTGTAAATTTTCATTAAGGGGCAAAGTAGGAATTCTAAAAATAAATTGTTCTAAATAAGGAAAGAGTGCCACATAAATTGGGACGGAGGGAGTATTTTATTTTGATGGCCACAAGTTTCTTGTTTTAAACAAATTTTCCTCAGTAGATTTGCATGAGCCTTCGAGGTATTTTAATAAGTTCCTATATTACAGGTTGATTTTTTGGAGCTCTACACCTATCTTGTTATTACTAGTAAATCAGCCACAAATTTTGGCATTAACAACAGCTGATCAAACAATGATAATTGAGTAATGGAACGAATAGGTGGAAACTCAAAATAGCCCCCCCCCCCCCCCCCCGGGGGGAAGGTGGAGAGGGGGTTGGCAAAGAAACATACTGTTATTAAATAAATTTCATGTTACAATAGTCAGTGAACTAGATATCACTCTTAATGAATTACTGTAGGAAAAGTACCTTTCAAGAATAGCGTTCTATTCTCTATGTGGTCCAAAATTCACAATGCTTTTAAAAATCGGCTCATAGACTCCATGTGAATGAATTTAATGCTACTATCAATTAGTACTTAATTCACAAACCTTTTTGAACTATACACAAATCAAGAAAACAAGCTAACCTTAAGAATACGAAAGATAAAAATAGACAAATAAAAAATCCATTTTTATTTGTCCATTATTTTTTTAAAAAAAAAGTTCATCCAGTTTGGAAAACCAAAAGAAAACCATTTTATACCTATTTTACCCTTATTATTAAGTACTACTATTCATTTTCCGACATTTTAATTAGGGGTGTTATAGAAAACTTACTTATTGTTCTATTAGTAATTGCTTCTTAAGAGGGTGTGTCTAGTTAATCATGAACAAGTAAAAATGGACGGACGAATTAACAATAACAATTGCCCTNCACTAGTTGCATTTGAGCTATTCCCACCATTTTTAACACTATCCTCCACCTTTTCAATAAGGTCATCAGAATCGTAATTCAATGTAGATCCGTCAAGACTCACATCTTCAAGTTCATCCAAATTACTACATTTCCTCTTCCTTTCATTCACTTCTTTATTGCTTGAAGTCTGACCAATTTCATTCCCCAAATTGCCACTACTATTATTAGCCAAGTTTTTCCTAAGTGCAGCCCTTTTTTGGAAAAGAGTAGGTTGTGCTCCAATTGAAGCAAAATTATCAAGAGGTTTTAATAACTTAGACCTATTAAGAAACACAGAGTTGTCATTTGCAGAATTGTCACCAAACCCAACCAATGGACCAAAACCAGAACTTGTTTGAGGCATTTGTAGCAAATTGGTACAAGGGAATTGAGTAAAAGAACTCAAATTGTTATGCCCCATTTGGTTTTGAGAGCTCAAATCTTGAAACCCACTAGTAAACATCCCAGTTTTATTCAAAACACTCAAATTTTGATGAGTTTCAAGAAACCCCTTTTCACCACAACCCAAATCAAAACCATTTTCCAATGGGTTGTTTAAGCCACTGAGCAAAGGAGGAATAGTGGATTTTTGGGGAAAGAAAAAGTGAACCTGAGAAGGGTCAAGATTGTTAAAAACAGAAGCAGAAGATGGTGAACAAGAAGATGATGAATCCACTGGCTGTAAAAGCAAATTGTTTTCAGCTTCAGTAAAATTAGAACCAAATTGCATGGCACCACCACTGTTGTTGTGATTGTTGTTGTTGTTAGTGGCCATGTTGTACCAGTCTACATCTTCAGCATCAAGCATAGATTTGAAAGTAGAAAGTGCACCCATCTCCATTTCATCTCTGTTGTTGTTGTTATGATTATTTTCATTGTTATTTTGATGAACCCATGAACCAGTTTCTTCATCTTCTTTACCATCCATCCAACCCATACTATGAGATAACATTTTTTTTTTGTTTTTCAAGAAAATATTGGGTTCTATAAAAGGAAAAGAAAAAAAACAAAGAAGTTGAAGTTTACAGAAAGAATAATCAAAAGGGGCCTAAGTAAAAGAAGAGAAGGTAGTGTTTTAGAGGGGCGTTAAAGGGTAGCAGAAAGTATGGAAAGACGTAAGCAAAATGCAGCAGCAGAAGCAGAGAAGAAAGGCAAATGGCTTTTTCAGAGATATCTTTATATGAGGGAACTTAAAACGTTACTCTGCTATCATTATTATTACTACACTTTTTCTGTTCAAAATCCCACGATATTACTACTGTTTACATTAAGCTTGTTTTATTTTGATAATTTGCCAACTGTTGAGTTTTGGACTTATTGGTTTTTTATCTGTTTGTTATGAGAGGGGGATAAAGTTGGCCAAAATCTAGGCTTTATTGTGTAATTAGTGAAACAAAACTAATCATGAACAAACTGCCAAATCTTCATTAATGACAACAGCAATTTGTCCTCTTTCAGTCTACTTCTAATACTAATTTCTTACCCACCAAAACCTCTTCCATTTTGAATGCTTTTCTTTTTTTTTTCTTTTCTTCTTCTTTTTATTCTCTATTTTTTATGAAATATCCTTTCTGGTATAATTGTAACTATTTTATTAAGATACATATTTGAGTCCGCTTATGCGTATTTTGACTATTTTATTAAATTTCTGTTACATCCTACTGGCATTAGTATTGAATCTCTATCTACCAAAACCTCTTCCATTTTGAATGCCTTTTTTCTGTTTTTCTTTTTCCCTTCATTTTTTCTTCTATTTTTGATGAATATCCTTTCTTGTATAATAAATTATTATTTTTAAGATAGAAGTTTGAGTCAGCTTATGCGCATTTTGACTATTTCGTTGAATTTCGATTACATCCTACTAGCATAAGCATCGAATCTCTATCTACTAAAATTTAGACAAATAAAAAAAAATTCGATGAGATCTTATCTTATAGATCATATTAATGGATTCAATTCTTTGGTCTGTTTTTTGTTAATGTTAACAATTCAAATATTTGAACTTGTCTTTGACAAATAGCAATAACATGCATCAGCTACCCTAATGAGGTATTATGGATACAAATTAATGGAGCATTGTTGATCTCTCAAATGCTTTATTATATCTTTAGCACTTTGGAAAAAGCTCATTAGTTATGAAGGATAATTTTTGCATTCCTTGTGAGTACTTTGACTATTTTGATGAATTTCTGTTATATCTTACTGGCATAAGTGTCGAATCTCTACTTACTAAAACTGAGATAAATAAAAAGAAATCATCATCTTCGAAAATATCCAATGGGATTATATCTTGCAAATCATTTCAAAGTAAATGGGGGATGGGCTATGTAGTATTAAATGGGTTCAATTCTCTTTTCTTGTTTTCTGTTAATGTTAAAAATTCAATTTGAGTAATAGCATGCATTTATTCTAGTGAGAAGTTATATATGGATACTAAATTAATGGAGTATAGCCGAAATCATCATTATATATTGAAATTGAACACTTTGGTGAATTATTAAAGCGAGCCTTTTGTATTATAGTTTCATGCTTTGAGAGCTCCGCATATATCATTTTAAGGAATTCAATTAAATGCAACGAAACCTTGAGAATTGTCATGCACTCATTTTCTGCTCTATGCATTTCTTTCAGATATATAATAATAGCCCATTAATTATAACAAGTGCCTAATCTATGAGAAAGAGTAATATACTTTATTCTTAATTATTTCATATAGTTAAGTCAAGATTCGAGTCTAATTTAGCTGTTAGTATATAATATATTAATGGAGTAATATATATTAGATGGTGGAAAATCCTCATTTATGGAAGCAATTAATTAATGGTTTGAATACTCAACTTAGAGAAGACAACAAATATAAAACCTTGGGAACATAGTTTCCTAAGTAATCCCTCTTGTCTCAAATTATCTGTCGTGTTTCTTTTTTACACGTCCCTTAAGAAAATATTAAATATGAGAGGTTTTTGACTGTTTTACCCTTATTTATGTCTTAAGGTATAATCCCTTTTCATTTAATATTTACTTATAATTGAGGTATTTGTAGTCTTCAAGAACAATTAATATTAAGGGTAGAATAGGAAAAAGAAAATTAATTTAGTCTTGAACTTTTAAAATGACAAATAATTTGAGACAACTATTTTTAGAAACTACAACACATAATATGAGACGGAGGTAGTAGAATACTTGTTTTTTAAGAGCATTTATCATGTGTTTGCGCTATTATTATGTTTTCATCTTCTTACATTTAAATTCAAATTTTTAGCACCTCAATTCTAAAAATTGTACTGCATATCTTGAGAGTCACTAATACTATTTATAATATGAATTCATATATGTGTGTCTGTGCATATCAGATCATATATGAGTTTAAGTTTATGCATCGATAATGCATAATATATTTATACAATTAATATATAATTATAGGATTTTAAAGATGTTTGCTCCAAATACGAAGAAAAAAAGCTTGACTTGACATTGAAATATGGTGTGACTTGATCCCTCAATTTGAAGTTTTAACTTTTATGGGAACTTCAACTTATAAACTGGTTGAACCAAAAGGTCCAACTATTATAAGCTCCACGTTTCGCTATCTTTTTTGACTATACAAATTGCCTCTTAGACATGCAAGCACACCTTCATTGTACTTTGAATCCCTTCTAGTCTACTGGAGTTTTCTAGTTCTCATTTTGCTTTTTAGTTTGAATAGTCATTTGTTTTTAAGTAATGGTCTATTTACTGAGTTAATTTCAGCGATGGCCATCCAACTTATCATTTATTTCACAAAAGTTACGTATTTATTTTTCATCACTTAAAAATCACTCAACTTTACTTTTGTAATTTAAAAAGTCATTTTAGTTCAAAACCTATAAAATATCCTATAAAAATATGACATGGCATTAAATTTAATTAAAAAAATTAATCATAGTGTCACATAAGCTTAGATGGGCCATACACAATTTAGACCCATTTCATCTATAATTTGATTTGACCCATAACCCAAATATGTTTTAATATTTTTAACATTAGAAGGAAAAGAAGAGAACAATTATTTTGTATTAAAATATCTTACTTTATTTGTTACGTAATAACATTAATGCCACCACCTATAATTTCATTAAAGATATGAACAGAACTAGCACAGAACCAGTTTTTGCATCCTTAATATCATTTTAGATTTTTTCATGAAGTTAAAATACTACCATATCAATCTCACATAAAATATAAATGTACAACTAACATACAAGAACAACAAGGCAATAAGAACATATTTTCACAAATTACTATTCCATTAAAGTCAAAATATTGCTTATTAGGCAATACTAACAAACAAAATACTGCTTAGTAAGAAAAATCCACAATGAAATTGCATAGTAGAAATTGTCAATACACACCGTAGACAACCTATAGCGATAGTTTGGACAAAAGAAAGAGACAACGTATTGTATCATTGACCGTAAATGTACAAGACAAAACTTTAAAAAAAATTCAAAAGACCTATTTTTTCTTAAATTTCTTAGACTTCCTTTTCTACAAATTAACCACAAAATCAAAGTGTTAGTTAGTTAATTATTCAAATATTAATAACCCATTTTGGTTATAGGTCAAATCGGAAAGAAATGGGTTTAACTTGGATATGGTCTATTTAAACTTATGTGGCATTATTGTTAGATTTTTTAATTAAATTTAATGCCATGTCATATTTTTTATTGGATATTTTATAGGTCCATGCCATGTCTAATGTTCAAAATATTAAAACCCATTTGGATTATGGGTCAAATCAAATTGTGGATGAAATGCGTCTAAATTGGGTATGGTCCATTTAAGCTTATGTGGCATTATAATTAGATTTTTTAATGTCATGTCATATTTTTATAGGATATTTTATAGGTTTGAACTAGAATGATTTTTAAGTTACAAAGGTAAAGTTGAGTGACTTTTAAGTGATGAAAAATAGATAAATGACTTTTGTGAAATAAATGATAAGTTGGATGACCATCAGTGAAATTAATCCTATATTTACTACAATACGTTTAGTGAAGTTAGATGTTTACTTAACGCACCCCATAAAAATGATGGGGTAACAGTAAAAGTCGTGTCGTATGATCAGAAGTTCACGGGTTCCCTGACTTGCCAGCTTGATTGCTTGTCTTATTTACCGTTTTCTTGTCGGATGGTTTATGTCTGGTCCTTTCGGGTCGCCTGACCTGGGCTGATGGCGCTTCGTAACGACTTGCCTGGAGATGTTAGTTGTAGCGCGCCTTCCCTCCTTCTCTCACTTTGGAAAGATTTTTCAGTATTTTCTTATGATGACCTAGTCGAGAGAGTACGATACATCGGTGTAAAAGATTTTTTTTTTTCTGTGAGCTTGGTTTACTTGACTGAAGGGTGCAGTAGAACCTGAAAGAGAGGAATAAATACATGGTCTATAATATTCATAGATCGCTTACTCTTTGTGTACGTTATGGAGTTTCCACTCCATGTTGAAAGCTCTTCGTTAGTGCAGAAATGCAAGGTAAGATTGCGTACACAAAATTCAATATGGTCGCCTCTTTCTAGAATCTCGCGCATAGCGAAAGATAAATGCATCGGAATGCCACGATTTACTTTAGCATAGGTAAGGTGGCAAACGGGCGGGGTCGGTCGGATATGGACGTGTCGAAAACGAGTAATGCAAAACGAATAAATTATCTGACCCGACCCATATTTAATACGAATAAAAAATGGGTTAACCGGCGGATATGAATATTCATATTATCCATGACTTCTTGAGTATGATCACTTTTTTGAGAATTCTTAGTCTCTTAAACTTGAAGAACCCCCAATTTGAGACTTTACAAATGTAAAAGTTAAACCAATTAGTTATTCATTTTCTAAGTGGATAATATAATTCTTATCCATGTTGGACTCGTTTTTAAAAAGTTTATTATCCAACTTATTTTATAACGGATAATATAGATGAATAAATATTTTTTTTCAACCATTTTGTCATCACTAAGCTTAGGACACCAAATTAATTTGTGTAGAAAAAAAAACAAATTAGTCAAAATTGAGGAGGCGCTAGGAAAATTATTAAGGGAAGGAGAGCCAAGAATCCCGTGAGGCCTTAAATTTTACCGCACCCAATTCCCAATTATAGACTTTAAATTCTGATGGGCCCTCCAAAGAAAGTCCATTTAAATCCAACAAATGCTAACTCCTCAATCGGTCAATCCTCATCCCTTTCAATTGTCA